TCTGCAGGTTGCTTAGCCAGAAACAGTGATTAAAATTGTGCCACAAAACTGGGCCACTGAGGAGGTCATTGCCAACCATGACTAAATACTTGATGCTAGATCTTGTACCTTGGGACATTGCTGGCACTGTTGCTTCACATTCTCAATCTTCCTGCAGCTCTTGCTACTTCTAGAATCTTCCTTAAGTCCATATATCTCTTATTGGGACATCAGCCTCTGGGCAGGTTTTTCTAATCATTAGAGCCTATTTTAATGCCCTAGCTCCAGCTGCAAGAGTGTTTGGGAAAGGGAACTTTCAGTTTGTATAGGCATAGGCTCTGTGAACCCATGGGACTTAAAGTGTGTGTGTGTGGGGGGGTGGCGGTGGGGTGTTCCACAGATTGTTTCAGATGCTGGGCAGCTTCAAATAAAACAGCTGTCCACTGCTGAACTGGTTAACTTGTAGTCTCATATTACCTACTAAATGGCAGAGCTGGGATGTGCTACATCTTAATTTCTCAGTTGTACTGCTCACTTTACACTCATGTCAAACTTACCTTCTGCACTGATTTTCTCTTGATTCCTGAATACACCTTGGATTTGAATACCTTTGTAGTTTGTCTCACACCTCTTCCTCTGCTTGTTCTACTTTTTACCCTGTTCTGTGCTGGTGAAATTCTTTCTAGGCTTGTATTGGAGACTTCCCCTATGAAAACTGACCTGATTTCTCATGCAAAATTAATGGTTCTCTTCTCTACATTTCCTTGTCTGGTGTTCTTACCTCTTCTATGGCACTATATTTATATTATGAGGGTAGTCTCAGGGTCTTTTGCTTTACTTGACTGTGAACCTCTTGAGGCTACAGGCAGCTCTGTCTTATTTGTAATTGTACCACAAACCCTTTGTAGTGGAGCAGTGTTTCCTGTGGAGTAAGTCCATTTGAAGACCTTTAGATTTTGTCAGATGTCAAGGGAGTCTTAAAGGGAATATACTGCAGCTAGCTTTTCACTCTTATTGATTGTGTTTAATAATCTCTGAAACCTTTTCATGTAAGCCTACTCAAAAATTTTAAATCATTTGAATTATACCCAAGATTTTGTGACTGTCATCATTAAGTACCCACATTACTTAATTTTTACTTAATGCCTTTCCAAAAATGGATTTAAAAGTCAAATGTGAAAGTCAAACAATAAGCTAAGATGTTATAGAGATTCCATTTACAGGAAGCTAAAAAATAAGATTCTCTAATTATACTTGACCTTTAAGATATAATTTTCAATATTGCCAGTATTTGGTACATGTTCTTTAGATTGTTTCTTATACTTCAGTCAAACAACTTAGTGTTGTTATGAATATGCCATTGGGGTTGGAGCTTTTAAGATGCCTCTTTATCAATACATCTCCCTTTTTGTGCCTACTCATTTTAATAAATTAGCACGGAATATAGTAGATGGCTGCTGAGCCTAAACTTATGGCTGGCAGGCAGCACTATCATCTTGATTTGATTATTCATCAGCTGGTATGTGAAAGTCTTAATTCTGTGGATGAATTCATTTCAGTATGTGTGTGGGGTGGTCAGTTTGTAATGACCAAAAGCATGAAGAGTTAAAAAGTTGAATGAGTGAATGCTGAGGCCCTCTGGTATTTCAATCAGTTTTGACAAAATATATTTTAACCTT